TGTGATGCTAGGGCCGCGTAGCCCTCGGCGCTATTGTATTCATCAGGTCGGGTTTCTCTGGTCAGGACTGTACCTTGGGTTCCTGACCACAAGGGGAAGTCACCGTACTTGCCACGGACCAGACAACAAACACCGTAACAATGCTGTGAGAGCTAGCAGAGAAGCAAAGTGCTAAGATGCTGAACATTTAACTCCGTACTTGAGGCAATGGTGCTATTATTTTATTAAGATACATGTGCTGGTCTGCACCATGTATCACTGGGAGTAAAGTACCACATAATTGTACACATGCGTGAACATGACGACACAACGATGTTACAATGTTTATCAGATGGAAAACACGGTACGCGGACCTGCGCAATTATGTCCAGCGGAAAAAAACTGGTATACAAGTCATGTATAATGTGCCTGATCCAAGCATTGCTCCAACTCAGACTTCTATAAGAACGCAGGCCAAGGGTGCCAGGTGTACAAAATACTGAAAGGATCAGCCGTAACTCAAGTGGGAGCTCTTGAAGAATCCCAGCACACGCCCTTCGCACTTAGCATGGACAGTAATAACGTTTCGTGACGTCACACAAGGGCCTGTTTGTCAGCTCAAGGGAGTCATTCATGGAGCTGATAATGGGCTCTTCAAGTTTGGAGAAGCTTGTTTCCGATCAAACCCGCGCTCAAGCGACACGAGCCAAGTGGGTAGCGCGTCGCGTTAATCAAATCCCATGTCCTTCGACGCTTGTTGTGCAAATTGCCTCAAACTGCTGTCGAGCCGAGGAGCACCACTTCAGTGACAGTGAAGGGCTGACGGTCTCCACTCAAGATAGCCTGAAACATGGCTCCGGATATTCAGCACATGCACACGATCCTTTCATGAAAACACTGTACTGTCGAATTCACACCAGGAAAGCACCATCAGTCTAATCCTAGCTTGCGTAATAAAATGGCCGCCAAGACTACAACAATGTGAGTTAAGGTGATGTGGTAGCTTGTTCCCATAGTGACTGCGCAATGTATTTATACACGGAGATCGACATGGAGAAAATGCGGATATGTCCCGGTTTCCCACTAACAATACGCCCTCATACCACGCTCCATACCCAGCACTGATGCTATCTTCTGTTTGTTTGTTTTTATCTCCCAAAAACTGCGATGAAGGCCAGAGAATGCCGCCTACTCGTACATGTACATGTTCACTCATGGAATTGTAATGCCACGGAAAGAGCAAGGAACAGGTTGGCACACTACTGGGACATTCCCAAGGACGCACGCACGCCGAACGAACAGGTGCTCATTCTTTACCGAACAGAAACCATTGATCGAACACACTCCTCCTGATTTCTACTTACCCCCCCCCCCCCCCTCCCCGCAAGCCAATACATGTACCGGCAAACATACGCCATTGTGGTAAGCAACCAGAAAAGCAGCTCCCCCTTCCACTGACAATATGGAGAAGCCCCGTGCCCACTACACCCACAAATGCTGTGTTGGAGATTTCCGCCTGGCATAGCCATACTGCCTATAGCACGCAACCAGGTGAACTGATCAGTGATCACCGCTACAAAGCCACCAACGAGGTATTCAGGGAAGATTTGGTGGGACACCGTCTACAGTACGATCATGTATTTCTACTCGGCAGTTTACCAATACAAACCATGGACTCTTCCTTGCGGCTGCATGCTTTTTCTGTGTACATGTACAACGTATAATAATAATTATTATTATGATTGTGCTTATTCTTGAAGTGACCACACATACAGGTACATGTACATGTACTGTACATTTACCGCATCAACAATGGATCTCTGGCCTATACATTCCACAGCGTTGACATTGTTCTCCCAGCTGCGCATGTGCACGACTGGTATTCTACCCTGCTCTCATGTATGCCCACTGTAGATAATGCAGCTTTTATCGTCACGAGGGTAACGTGCACGCAGATACACACACGCCATTCACGCCCGCAATGCTATTCACGTCCGCAATAATTTCACGAATTTGTGCTGACGAGCAAAGGATGGCTACAGCAGGGGATGGTCCATGCGATCTGGCGGAGGAGTTGTTGTCAGTATTATACGCCATCAAGGAGAACAAAGACGTTACATGATGTTGAAGTACATTATTTCTCATGGCTACATGAGGAGATCAAACGCAATTTGTCCTGTCGGCTTCGTTTTGAACGGAAATTCCAAAGGCGTGTTCTTTTAGTTCGTGCAGACTCATTGCAGTCATTGTTCCGTGAATACGATCTTCTGCTGATAGCTCCCCTTTAAAGCTTGCAAGCTGAAGACAAGCTATAGCTACCTCTGGTGTCGTTTGACAAGATAAAGAGTTGTAAAGACCTATTCTTGTCAGGATGTGAATTCAATTTGCCCCTGCAGGGCCTCGACTTGATTCTCCGCGCGCTCTTTGAACTCGTCACAGCGTCAGCGTTCATTGTTCTTGTACGTCGCAAAGGCGTTTCTCACGTCTATGCTGTGTAGGTGCGTGAGTGTTCAGATTCCGAACAGCAGCTCAAAGCACTGAGAGTGGAACCCCTCCCTGCTTCCCTTATCTGTGTTTTACATGATTGTGTGGAGCTCACCTTCCCTGGAGCCAGCTCCGATTGCCGTAAATCGGATGCCAAGAAACGGCTACTTGACGATAATAGTGAACTGAGATGGCTCCATGTCCGCCGTGAGTTGTGGTTGAAGCCTGCTCGCCGCCACGAAGAGAGACCGTTGTCCGCCATTCATGGGTTCCTGGCTTCGGGTATGAACTGAGTGCTGGTGCCAGCTTTGGTGGAGCCGCTGAATACTGACCGTTACGCCGGAGTCACGTTGCGATATCGAACAACAGGGCAAAGGGGCACAATTTGACAGTACTAAAGTTGTTAATCTATCTTTCCCATGTATCTGCCTATGAAACGTGATGAGTTTCTGAGTCGCGCAAAACCCCGATAGGACTCTCCCACTTCCAAAGGAACCCCATCCACTGGTACCAGGTCGAAGCAGCATAGCGTTTTATGCCCCTGCTTTCTGCTGGAAGAGTTTTGCCTATTCCCCAGAGTAACCCTTGCTGGTGCCATCGCCAAGGACGCCGGTAGATGCTCTCTTGATTCTTGAAGTAGAGAACGGGTGTACGCTGAGAACATGAACAATGAGGCCACCGGTATAACAATCCATTAATCTGCTGGCACGTACCACTACCAGAAGGTATACATGCATGCCTGTTAGCCACGCCACTGGCCAGGGATACAAGTAAGAGGCAAGATGTCGTACATGTAAACTCGATCAGAGCGCTCAAGAAGGAATCTTTCCTGGGCCGCGCGCGGAATGGGCCACCTGATCAATGGTATCTCATACCCATACGTGCAGTAGCACAGAAAGTTTCTTTTCAGTGCATTGTAAACGTGCACGACTGCAGATCTACCCTATCAACATTGCCATCAAGTCTACTTGTAGTTCGTGGGTAACTCATAATCTTATGATACAAATTGCAATCTGGAAACATACATGTACGAACTGCTCTTCTTATTGTCCCCGATATTGCGATTAGATTCTACCATTATGTCTATGTTCGGACGTGGTGTCACGCCGAATGAAAGAAAGCGAGTTGGTGATAGTACCAAGTACAGCGACCAAGTACTTCAATCTCCACCATTGTGACTTAATGTGCAACGACTGGTTAGTGCAATGCACACCGCCCACACTGTACTGCGACAGTCAACACTCCAAAAGTGACCATACCGGGTTATTAGAAGTAACCTTGTCATGGAACGTGAGTTTACTTCAAACCTCACCTTGCCTTGATAGGAGCTATCTCCGCAGGCGACTCCACTGGTACTGAGCAGGCCACTAATCCACAATCGCTCTACGAATGCAAAACAGTCTCTCTTGAAGCCGTGACACTTTTGCAGGCTAATGCGCTCCGGGCTATAATTGGATCTTGGGGAATTCAATATCCTACTGCGTACTAGCAAATGCTGGACAGCGCTGCTGCTAAAGTCACTCCGACTCTCAGCGTATCCTGTCAGGCGTTGGAAGGAGGGTCAGAGTACCTGGCATGACCAACTGATTCTAGAGTCTTTCCGAAGTGAGAAGTATTACTATTACTGAAGTAGTTCTGAGTCAATGTGGTTTGTGCAAGCGCACGTGATATCAGTGGGAAGTTTGACTGGCACTGACAAGATTGCACCTCGATCTCGGGGTAACTTTGTTGGCGAGGCTTCGAGTGCCACTGTACTGACGGCTTCCCCGCCCAGTGGAGCCGTCAAACGGGGATCCCCGCAAAGGGCACGACATAGGAAAACCGCACCAGCGGAACAGGCACGGATCTCACCATCCAACCCAGAAACTTGTCACCGACGTTTACCCAACTGACAGTTATCACAGTTCTGGCGCTAATTCTTAGTATCTACCTGCTCCCCCGTGGTTCCATCCTCGGCAGGATGTCTCCATGTTCTTCACAACATAGCGGATACACACAGGTCGATGCCCGGGTCTTACCCAACTGGTCAGTCGTAGCGGATCAACACAGAGAACAGGTGGAATCACTAGGAAGGATCTTGCAGGCTGACAATTTACATGTTGCTAACAATAGGCCTGGTGTAGATGTAGCTCCAACTAACTTCTAGAGTTTGAAAATAGGCAAAGCATTCTAAAAATGACCTCACATTGCTTACAGGTGATATCCTGTTGTACCTGTTCTGTTTCGCAGTGGCGGATCACTGGGCGACCAAGCCTCCACCAGCCACCGTCACGGAGCATTTTATTTCCGGATGTTTTTAACTTCTCATGGCCTGAGTAAATAGGGTCTAGTTGCTGGGGGGCTTTTGAAGGTCCTCTATGCCAGGCTCAGCCCAAACAAGACAGGGAGATTACGCACGGTATGGCCCATTCGAAATGGGTGTGAATTGCCAGAAAATATTTTTTTACCGCGAGTTCGTGTAATCATAGTGATCCCCTTCTTGCCACATGGAGACCCCACAGTTGCCCCACTCACCCCTCAACACACCGCAACAAGGATGAGGTCTTAATACCAAATTTTCTTTCTGGCAGATCCAATCCAACATAAATATACAGCGTGAATGCTACCACTGTACCGTACGTGGTATTGGGATAATGTTGCTACTTTTGTTCACGAAAACGATTCCTGATCCGAAGAAAACCTGGTGATAAAGGTAGATAAAAGGATAGATTCCGAAGAAGCTCTCGCCTACTATGAGTGTTGCAGGGATGCAAAGGTGTGACTGAAGGAAGGATGAACACAACAGTATAATAGTATCTCTCGGCTGCTGGCACACGGAACGCATGCCGAGCAGCCAGGGAAGAATCTGACAGGCTTCAACGTGGAGCAATCGGTGCGGAAGAATCGAGCAATCAAGTCCTGGAGTCTGCGATGCCAAGCCTGGATCTGGGTTGAAGGTTTGTGAGCAAGGGGGGAAATAGGTCTCAAGTGCCTGGGATCATCTGCCTGAGATGGATCTGTTAGAATGCTGACAGTGCCACTGGATATCGCGAGGATCATCCCCCGACTATCCTGGGGGAAACCAACTGTCTGTAGCTATCAGTAGTGGCATCATCATCAGCAGCATCAGCAGCAGATGCTCAGATACCGTATGCTGTGCTTGAAGTCAGCAAAGCCAGCCGTGGGTTTATGCCAGCCCGCATGCCAGTCTGGCGCACGGCCCTCTGAGCATGCGCAGTCAAGCCGTAAATGGCTACTTATGGACTCTTTTGCCTCTCGCTCTTCAAGGCCGATGAGCCGGTGTGCTGGACCCTGGGGGCACTTTAGCAGGCTGATATTGCATAAACGTCATTAGCGGCAACACGTCCAGGGAACTGATATAATTCTCATTGATGTGTGGATAACTGGAAATGATACAAAGCTAGAATGTGTTCTCTGCTGCACGGATCAAGCACCACACGCCGAGCATGCACAGGTGTCGGCTTGTCGCAGCCAGACAAAGTCGTGACTGCCATCAGAACACCTACGGTGATGTTTCACTAGCCGGGACGTGTGCGCTTTACAGCATCGGCAGTGGGACGCTCTGGAAATCACGTCACGGTGCTCGATGTCCATCGCCGATACGGGCACGGCTTGTAGCTCAATGACCGAACTGCATACTCCTCTGCACACCGGCACGTAGAACGTCTTCGTCTCCTTGCCTTTGCACAGGCGCTTCTCCAGCCGCTTTGTGGAGCGCGTGCAATGCTCGTGCTGCCGCAGTTCCTTGGTGAAGGCTGCTAACCGTTCTGGGTTGTGCGCTACCACCGGCGGATCTGTTTTCGTCTCCGGCACAAGGTTCCGCTCTCCGAATGGGATAATGCCCGGTATCCGGTCCGGGAGTGAGGCCGTGCTGACCGGGGTGCCAAGTGTTCCGCTTTCTTCCGTAGCTGCAGTGGTTCTTGGAACATCAAAGCCCAGCAGGTTTCTCAGTAGGTCTCCATTGATGTCACCGTCCGCGTACTGGCGAATCTTGCCTCCTGGATGATTCTGGCTCAGGCTCACTGATGCTTGCTCTGCACTGGTTGATTGGGTATTGGCAGTTGCAGTAGCACTTACTAGTGCGTTATGGTCTTCAGCTCCAGACTCTGTGCTGTTCCCAGGAACTGCTGCAGTGGAACTGTCAGTTGGTCTGTCAGCCATGCCTGTACTTGTACTGGTGGGCAAGGGGCTAACCAGGGCCACGCACGCGGAAGCCAACAAGTAAGCCAGCACCAGGTGAGCCAGCGTGCATCTGCTTGACGTTGTGAAACAGCTTCTGGCAGTAGTGCCGTACGGTGTCGACCGTCTGCCTAATGAGTTCCCCTGCAGTGACACTGACAGCCTTCCTGAGCGTTCCCCTGCTGATTGGGGGCAAGAGCGGTCCTCCCCAACTCTGTACGAACAAAAGCAAAGAAATGCAAGAAACAAATTATTGTTAGGAAACGTCAGTGTCTGCACGGCTGTAGGGCTGGACAGAACGATCTAGGATCACTTCATTCCAACCAGGTGCCGCCCCGTAGCCTGCGCCGCGAGCGATAAGGGATCGCCAATACAAGAAACATGCCCTTCTTTCCTGAGGGCAAGACGAGCAAGGAGCGAATTGCAACTTCAGCCTGGCGGTAGAACTGGTCGTGCGCAGCGAGGCCGACTCGACCAGACTGGGTTTCGGAGGTTCGACAGAGTCGAGGCAGGTAACCGCCAAGGCCCTTGCATGCTGTCACGCATATCGCTACACAGCGGACGACATGAGAAACTTGGACGATTGCCAAGAAGATGGATGGACTACACGTGCCCAGCAGCAAGGTGTAAAGTCATTGAGCATTGAGAGCTTCTACAATGGCTCCATATTCGTGTGCGCACACCCACATGCATTTCTGATGGCGCAAGCAAATCATGGGCACCACATGTCATTCGCGAGCCAAGCAGGAAATTATCCGCAGGTACAAGCCTGTCATTATTCCTTACCTTACAACTCCTTGCGCTTGAGCGTGGCGTTCTGAACGTTCGACAGCCATTGTAATTTTTTGCTGCAGTCCACCAAACGAAGTCGACTTGAAAAGGAGCGTTGGGACCGGGATGGCGTGCGTTTCAAGGCCCCACAGGCCAGTGTGAGTGATGGGAGCACACGCGGATTGCCAGGCAATCCGTAGAATCTACACGCTGGGCATGTGTGTATGCGCGAGTACGCTGAGGGGTGGTGTCTGGGCTCGACACTCCGCACTGGGAGTGGGACTCACTCTATGCCGCTCACAGAACCGTGAGGACTGATGGTGTTCGCAGGTGATATGGATGGCACAACCAAGCTCTGCAGTTCCAGCTACTGGCCATACGAGAGACCAGCCCAAGTAGCAGATAGAACTCAGCACCAGGCGGCTGCAGGTCAGGCTCCTCAAGGGCTGTGTGAGAGGTGAGCCACTTCCGAGCGTTGACAGTTCAAGAGCTCTCAGCCTCCGACGATTCGAAGCGAGCAGACCACTGAAGTCGGCTAGGCTAGCTGTTGTGTAATGACCTCTCGCCTCTGTATCAGTGTATGCTATGCTATGCTGATCAACTGAAAGTTGGGTCAGATTGGTACGATACCGTGCTGCACTGAAGGGGTCAAGTCTAGGACTCCGCCGTTTGCGCAAAGATCTCACAGCACGTAGACTCTACAGAAAAAGACTATTGTCCACGAACCCTAGCTAGCTCACCTTTTCTGCGCCAAGCAGCCCGTCGACTGAGCCAGGGGAAACTGATGAGTGTTAATTATAGGGACGGCCTATTACTCCAATTCAATGGCCACTGCTATCAAATTGATAAGTGCAAGGTGACACTAAAGCGTCCTTGCCCCTGTCTTTTAGAATAGCCCTCCTTCCAAGACCAGCGTTCGGATGCATGCGGTGTAACGTGGTAGGCCACAACTGGACAGCGGAGACGAGCAAACTTTCCGACGCTAGGCCAAAGTTCATGAGCGGCTGCGGCAGACCGATAATACAATGATTAAGGGATGTGCGAATGTCGGATGGCCCATATAATCTGGATTCTTGTGGCGGTGTGAGGAATTCGCTTGTGAGAAGGAACAGGGACAGCATGGGGCTCACACGATGGCCACATATGCAGCTTGGGTTGTGTTTCCTCAGTCTTTGTTTGCTCGCGGGGGCGAAAGAGGAGAAGTCCGTCATGAATATTGTTGGTCTCATCCCTGCGTCAGCAGTTCCACTGGACCAGTCTAGCCCTAGCAGTGGGAGCCGTGACGGAGATCCGTTAATTCCGTCTGTACACTTGTAATTGTGGAGATGAGTGTGGCGTTGTGTATGTAACTGACAGCTAGCAGGTCTGCAGCGATTTATCACAAGCGCACACTTGAGCGCAGACGTTCCCAAACAATGCGTCTCACACTAACAGCTCAGATCCAGTTTTTTATCAGAGTGCACGCGCTAATTATAATAATGCCTTCGGTCTAACTCACCAAATGAACTAAACCGGCCAGATCCGTGGAAAGGTATGAGTGTGTGTGTGTGGGGGGGGGGGGGGCAACACGCAGGTCCACGCTGAGATGCGCTAGGAAGAATGACCTTTCTCCGGCTTTTGGGCCCGGAAGAAACATCGTTGGTCAGAACAATGGATTTGTGACTGTTGCGTGATGGAATCTTTTGAAGACAATTCATTGTGAAGTGAGCGCGTGAATCATGTCGTATACCGGTATATGTACATTAGCAGCGTGATCGTCATGTAGCTACAGGTATGAAGTATGCGATGTGCCCACATCCCAGCCTGCTTCAGTCCATGACTTGAGGATTGCGTATGTGTTGTGACTGATTGCTCAGTACATGCACCGCCATTACCCACTCCTGATGAGAGGTAGAAAGAGCATGTCATGGAGCAATACAGTGAAATCAACATGATTGTGTCCAGTTGCTAAAACTTGCATCCGAATCGTGTCGAGGGGATTGAGGTAGACAGACAGGCAGACAGAGACAGTGGAAGATACAGACTCACGATGTGAGGGCTGCTGTTGGCGTTTGAACAATGGGGCGAATAAGGAGAGGCACGGTGGCATGAATTTGTGAAGAGAGAGAGAGAGAGAGAGAGAGAGAGAGAGAGAGAGAGAGAGAGAGAGAGAGAGAGAGAGAGAAAGAAAGAGAGAGAGAGAGAGAGAGAGAGAGAGAGAGAGAGAGAGAGAGAGAGAGAGAGAGAGAGAGAGAGAGAGAACGAATGGGTGTGAGATACTCATAGGTAGATGATAAAAGCAGACCCTAGTGCAAAGCTAGCTGCGTTTCTCGCAGTTAGCGCGCTCTGCTTTCAAAGTGATTCTTTCAAATAATTGCTCTGTTGTTCTCTAGACGGCCTTGCAGTCGGTTCTGCCAGCCACTACAAGTCTAAGCTCCGGCGAGCAGGCCTAAAAAGGTCGAAACAGCTACATGTAGATGTAGAAATCGAGGGTACAACCTCACCACGGGACACCACCACTGCCACGATTCCGGTTGTGCGTGCTTCCCCTAGCTGCATATCATGTTTGGCATTTTAAAAGTGGTCTTTGTAAAAAAACAACAAAAAAAACACTTAGCTACAATAATACTCAATCTGCGGACAGAACTGTTTCGTCCTTTGTGGACTCGTCAGCGCAGCACAGAGGAAATGAGGCCGAACCTGATAGCAATGGAAATAAAAATTTCCAATCAGGTCCGAACGTACCTTGCCAGAGTGCTCAAACTGACAAGTCAGTGAGCTCTGCATAACGCAAACAGCAAAGGCACTACCCCACGCAAGAGTGCTCAACTGCTACAAGAGCAGGAGCGAAATACTCAATCTGCGGATAGACGGAGAGAGAAGGGAGAACATTGTGTGCCTAAAGCTGAATATAAAATACTTCGGGGCACCATAAAGTCACAATGATGATACTCGATCGAGTCCAGTCCCTTTACTATGGGCTATACACTGATGATGCACATGTACATGTACGTCAGAAATTGGCTCCTCGAGCATAAGAGACACAAATCTGAGCGGGGAATATCTATTTGGACATGTAAAAAAGGTTCCCTAGCCAGCGGAGAGAGATCAATACAATAACGTGGAGCACTATTGCACACAAAAAGGAACGAAGGAAGACGGTTTGCGGAAACTCCAAGTTTCTTCCTCAATGCAATCATGACTTCACGAGGCAACACAGAAACTGGTGATCATCCTTTGTCCTTCTTGTATTTTTAGAAGGGTTATTTCGAACTGACCAAATGAGGGCATATTCCGCATATTCATACATGTATTTTGTTATACACTGTAGCTAAGAATACAATGCTGAAGTTGTATTTTTCTTCTTTTTACTTCAAGAAGTTTACGATAGGATATAAAGCAAACAATAATCATGTATTAAAGTCTTGTGTTTTAGGCGTACTGCAAGGACACTGCTGCATCTCCCAAACTCTATACCGTGCACAATCGATCAAAACGTATTTGACGTATTTAACTAGCCGATTGGGATGGTGATCTCTGACTCTGAGCCTCTTTTACTGGCCAGATATATTTCTCAAGTTCTAAATAAAATGAGCCAGAAACCACAAACACATTATACGAGCATACATGTACTGTTGTAGTACATGTAGGTAAGCAGTAGCAAGTTATCCAGTCAAATGAAAATGTAAAGATGTGTAGCATAAAAAAATTAATGATGTTATACCGCTCAAAAAAACCTTGAGTCACCTCCACCATTATACCGCTCAAATAATATAAAATTAGCCCTGTACTCGGGCCGTTGCCACTGCTAGTGCAGCAGAGATATCACCCACTGCCAAGGCAGATGACTGACTAAAGTGAAGAGCCGTCTGCATCCACGCAGATTGGGATCGAAGTACATGTATTACTACTATTAGTTCCTTCCAGATGTGGCTTGTCTAACCGGGAGCCCAGGTCTTAGAGTTCATCAATGGGCCGGAGGTTTCAAAGAAAGCGCTGCCTGGTCATCACTGATTCCAGTGTGTGCGGAAGTGCATTGTGTATCTTGAAACGCTGAGCCTAACTGTGTACCATCTGCGTATTCCAATGAAGTGAGCGCTTCCCAATGGGTTGTCCCCAGAGCGCGGCCTCACACTTAAGATATTGTTTGTTTGCCATGTTTATGCATACGTGTGAGGAACGCATCCGAAACACTCAGGTTTCAGAAAGTCGATATCCCCATTACGGAGAATGCCGTCATTACATGTGGGCTGGCCTGATAAGTAACCGCATGAATCCTTCCGGAAAGACGAGAATGATTGAAAGACATCGCTATTCATTCCCATCAAAATGCTTCGTGTCGTCGGATGACATGAGGCATACTGTATGCGGTGTGTGTTCAATGTACGCACGTTGGTCCTGTTTTAAAGATTCGGGAATTTCCCTACCTTGGGATTAGACTTAGGCCAGCACGTTAGGGTTCCCTCTGCCCTCTGGCATTCTCGCGCTAGTCGTGGAGCCTGGAGGTGGATGATGTTGGTGGGAATATTATTAAATCGAGGTTTGCTTGACAGTGTGGGCCACTATATTATTGTTCAAGTGTTGATGCTTTAGCTTTGCGCCGCTAGTGCGACTGTGCAGTGTCTGTGCAGCAGCTACTGTGCAGCTGTGTGTGGCTTCTGTGCACTGAGTGTGCAGTACATGTGTAAGATTGTAGGTGTGCAGCATGGGCTGTGATCACTGATCAGCCTACTACTGAGTAGTACTCCAACTACATGTACATAATTCTCCGAGAAAGTTATTAAATTTTCATTCTGGAGGGTTTCTGCTCTCTGGACACTGAGTATTGGGTACTACTGGTCCGTGCAACTTCATACATGCACATGTACATGTATGCATGCATGCGCTCTCGCCGCCGTAGTCTTATTACTCGTCTTCTATTCTTCTTTGCTTCTCTCTGTTATTCACATTCCTCTTATTGCGGGGCATGCTTGCTTGTTTTAATCGCGAATTGAGATCAAAGCACACATTATCAAGGTGATGAGAAAATCGTACATGTACTAGAAAGCAGTGTGCATTGCCCCTTGGCCTCATTGTAACACCAAACATACACACACGCGCGCGCGCGCACACACACACACACACACACACACGTACACCCCCCCCCCCCACACACACACACAGAGTATGATCACTACCATTTACGCTCGTCAGTTGGTGATTTATTGCATGCATGCATATTCCTGTAGCAGCCGATATCAGTGCTAGGCTTCTATTCAAGTCCGGCTTCTATTCGAAACACGTACTGTACTTCCTCCGCGTCATCGAAATTGTCGCAGTTTGACTTTTGATATAAAACGGGGTATTTACTCACCAGCACTCGTACCACAGGTAAGGAATCGGACATAGGCGACGGTCATCAGTATGAAGTACATGATGTACATGTACATGTACGTGTATCTCTGTATATGTCAGCACTAAACCAGGCTCATGTGCTGAAAGTGTTTCAGGCTTGTATTCAAA